TGTAAAGCAACAAATGCTTATGTGATTGGCGTTATTATCAAGAACTTCTACTATGATGATGGTTTGCACGAACTGTTGTTGAAGTTCCCATTGAATATTGGTGCAGGTTTCCATTGGTCCTCTGACAGCTTGGAAGATAAAATAAAAATAATGGTGGTTAACCTATCTCGAAGTGGACTGATTGCTGGTCCAAGGTTCCAGAGACATGATAACTCGTGCTCTCCACTCTGTGCTGTCTCATCAACTGGTCATCAAGAACAACTGCAAGTGAGGATGATTTTATGTTTGCATGAACTCATCTTTTGCCCGGACGTTCCTTTGACTAAGCTTCTTCGGTGCCGTGCTGGTTTGATGATCGAGGGATTGGCCTAGCGAAATTTAATTTCAAGCATTTTTTTAAATTAAAAATCATGTTCTACCAGAACAAAATCAACTCGGTGCTGACAGCAACTTGATTGCTTGCATTTTTTTTTTTTTTTGTTGCGGTCATTGTAGCTAAAGAAATTATAAGATGTAATTTTATTCTAAACAGCTTTAGTTTTCTTAAGCAATTGCGAGAGAGAGATGGACTTATATTAGGATGTTTTTAATGTAAATTGACTAGTAAAAAAGGGTATAATGAAAGAACTATCGTATAATAAAATCACTGTTAATTGAAAAGAGCCATTTTAACATTTAATGGTTACAAGCATAGATTTTTTTTTTTAAAATCAAACCATTGGATACTTTCAATTAAAAAATAAAAGAAAACAAAGTCTATTATTTTTATTCCTGTTACTTATGACCCAAGATCCACTTCATAACTACCTTTAACGTTGTCATGTAGGAGATTTGCAAAATAATAATAATAATTGTTTGTTGTTAGATCCACTTGTTGAAAATCACGAGCTTGATAATAATATCATTCTTGAACAGGACATTCTAAAAACTTCGAATGAGCTATGGCCGAGAAAATCCACTAGACCTCGTCAATTTTCAACTAGATATTTTTCCTATAAGTATGTGCTAATTACTAATTGAGGACAACTATAATACTCTAATGAAGTTATGTTACATAAAAAGAAAAAAAAATAGTTGAAAGTTATCATAAAGAGATAAAATCCTTGTATAAAAATTATTCTTTTAAACTAGTAAAGTTTTTTAGACATAAAAGAGCATTCAATAAAAAATGGGTATCGGAATGAAAATTGCTCACAACTAAGATTCAGGACAATATTGGTTGTGAAAGGTTTTGGTTTGAAGAAGTGTATTGATTTTGAAGACATCTACTTACTAGTTATCAAGATGTCTTCGATTTGAGCTATAAATGAAATTTGTCACATCGATGAATTATAAATGTAATATTATTTATAAGCAATATCGATTAAAAAGATAAGGGTTGAATCATGTAATTTTTATCTCGACAATAAATTATTGACATGATAAAATATATATATCATAAGCAAAAGTGTTATAGCTCAATTAGGTAAAACACCTTGTTTACACGCGTGCCGGTGTATTTTCAGAGGAGTATATCATGGAAAGGTCTATGTCGACAACAATATGTCAGATGTAATGAATAAATCTCTACATATGGAGAAATTTGAGTTTTGTAGAAGGAAAACAAGCTTGATAGAGCATTTTAAATTGAAGCTTATATGGTGGTTGTTGTATGACGAGTTCTTTATATGGCGTGTGAGTAAGAGATTTAATTGTATGTGGTCTAGCATCATGTGATGATGAAACCACCATACAATTGAAATAAACAAGAGAGGAAGGCTTTTAAATGCACAATGTCAGCTTTCTCTTATATAAATAGCGAATGGTATTGTTGTGACTAAGGGTGTTCATGATCCGGTTTTAACCTAAAAATTCAACCAAACCGAAAAATAATATTTTTTTATTAATATAACCCAGACCAAACTGAGAATCGGTTCAAACTGAACCTGTTTTTTCGGTTTGGGTCATTTTTTAACAAAAAAACTAGAAAAATCGTTCCTTACCTGGAATTATGAGATACTTTCTTGATCATAGGATACAAGTTTGACATAATAAAACTCTTAAAAGCCCTCGTTGCCTCTGAGCTTATGATCTATTAGGAAGGCGATTGTTTTATGTTAACAACTCACAAGATACAAGTGGTTGGAGAAAATTAAACGATTCCTTGCCTAGAATTATGAGATACTTTCTTGATCGCGACTTGCATATTGAAAGACTACTACCATTATTATTCTATCGTGTCAAAATTATATAACTTGGATAACCATTGTTCACTCGCTTTTGAGGAAAGAGGAAGGGGAAGGCTGGGAAGGGGGAAAGTGAAGGGAAAGGGGAAGGGAAGGGAAGACTAGAAAGGGAGGGGGGTGGTGGGTGAAAATAGGGAAAGTGATTTAGGATTATGGATGATTTTTTTTTATGCTTTTTTAAAATAGATTCGGTTTGGTCTGGTTCAGTCAATTTAAGTTTTTTTAAACCAGACCAAACTAGACTGGGTGATTTTTTATTTTTTAATCGGTTTATTTGATTTTTTTATCGGTTCACTTTTTTTGATTAATTTTTTCTTGGTTTAATTGGTTGGTCAGTTTTTTTGAACACCACTAGTTGTGGGATAATGGTCTTGCAAGAGAACAAGAGATAGCGCGAGAGAAAGAAAGAAAAGAGACAACTGAACAATATGTTCTCATTTTTTGATTTCTAGCTTGTTCATCATTGGATTTGGCTGAAATTTTAAAAACATGTTACATATACATTGCTTTTCATCATGAACGGTTAGATTAAATCGTGAAGGTGTATAAGTTTGTTGTTTTGTCATGAGATGGAGTTATCAATGTTATGAGATTCTCTCAAAACTTTGTTTCTTAATCTCGTTGTAATACAGAAATAAGTTGTTCTTGATAATATACATTTTATATACCTTAGTTATATCCATGGAGTAATACAGGAATATGTTGTTTTTGATAATATATATTTTATATGCTTTAGTTATATCCATGGAGTAATACTTGCGAACTCATTATTTGTTGATAATAGATGTTCTTAGGCAGTTTACGATCCTATTCTTTTTTCCGTATTAAAATTTCCATGTAAAACTCTTGATGTTGAATTGTATGATTAATTATATAATTTTTGTTGATTGATTGATCTTATTTTTAATTATATAAGTGAAGTTCTTACATCAAAAAAAAAAAATTAGTTTGATTTTGTGAAGGTCATCATAAATTAAAACTTCCAGGTAAAGAAGCACTCATCTTGATTCTCGTTGTATTTTAAACCTCAACTCTACAAGTTTGTCACTTTTAACCTATTAGAAGTCCAGATGACTCTCTTCCTTGCTGATTCACTTAAAAATAAAATATCGTCGTGGGGATGGACTTACATACTCATAAATTTAAAAAAAAATGTTAATATTAGTTAAATATTAAAATAAAAGGTTAATATTTCTCATAAAAGCAAAAGATAGATAAGTTTGATATCTAATCTCAACTTTTCCTTTGAGTTAATATATTTTTATATTTTTATTTTAGATGTTATTTTTCTTACCAAAAACAAATAATTTTTATTTTTTACAAAGATATCATCTAGAAAAAGTTTATTTATATAGAATATAAAAAACTAAAAATAAATTAGAATAATCCCCTTCAAACATCATATACATATAAAATAATCAAATCATAAGGGGATTAATTTAAATATTAATATAAAAAATAATACAAAGTTAAAATTTTAAAAATAAGTTGATGTTTTTTATTTAAAAAATTATTTTAAATTATTTTTATCTAAAAACATATAATTAAAAAATTTAATAACGTCAGTAAACAATCATCAAATCAGATAGAAAGAAATGCAATCACTCTCGAGATATATTTTTTTTCCGACCAAACGAAGTGCGGGAAATATTCCCTCATCATGATAATTAAGCGGAGTCGCAATCATACGAACGGTTAACGTGGCTTGCATGCATTACACAGCACAATCATTATGTCTCCATTGCTACCATTTTACGGGACACCGTAGACGAAGAAGAACCAGGCTTCCTGTTTTACTATCTCTCTTATTATTACGTCGGAGATCGTTTCACAAAAGCCAATGGTTTTTCCTTCCCCTCCTCCTCCTCCTCCGTTCTTTCACCTGAGCAGCGGCATGAGAGGAGCGGCATAAGCCATGGGATTTGACCTTTTTCATTTCAAATACAATGTTGCTTTTTAAGTTCCCTTCATTGTTTTTAAGATATTTTTATATATAAAATAATATATTTTTATCTTTTAGAATTAAAAACACTGAAAAACACAGAAATAACAAAAACCTCCAAGGAGAAAGAGAAGAGTTAGGTGGTGTCTGGTCAGCATTGAATATGAACTGCATTGCCGGAATAAAATTAATTAATACTGCCTTTTAATGAGGTAATATCTGCCGAACTTTTCAAATTATTCGTGCTTGAACCTTCAAGATCTGGCTGTCTTTTCCTTTTCAATCAACGAAAGATTCACAGAGCCACCCCAAATATGATCACATGGAATGTTTGATCGGTCAAACAGTTGAAAGCATTTACATTCAAATTGTCAGAATATACAATCACCACCAAACTAATTTTATAAATTAATCGTGACAAAATTAATTTTATAAATGATCCAGTCATGAAAAAAGAACCCCTTTATGATACGAAGTTAAACCGGCGAATATCGAAAGCCTTCAAGAACCCTAATTAATGAGAGCTTGTTGTCCAGGAGCCTCTCCTGCTGATAATCCAACCAGGCAAAAAGAACCATCAAAGACCAGTCAAACCTCCCCGAATATCCCGCTCCACATAGATGTGTATCCTAAAATCCCTACCCTGCAATTACCCAATAAAATCCAGGGCAATTTAGTAACACTGACACACCAACCTCTTACTTTTACAAAGAGCCTCAAGCAAGACCGTCCGATTTTTCTTCATGATGACCGATCAAGGGTTAAAAATCCACCTTTGACTGTCGTACAGGAAATGATTGGTCCTTTAGGGCGATTGGATTTGACCAATGAAGTATCAAAAAACAGACACATGGTGGCTTCACAAAAATTATCCCTGGAGAGAGAAAGTTAAGGCTTCCGCAGAGAAAATCTTGAAAGAAACAAGAGAGATTTCGTTGTTGTTCTTTGTTTTTCTCTTTTGGTGTCCCTTCCTTTTCTCTCACAAGTTTCTCCCTCTCTCCCTTTGTTGGAGGAGAGAAGGTTGAGTTTGTGTCTTCTTCTTCTTGATTTTCTTTTTTGGAATATTTTTGGATCTTTTTAAAGAGGAAATTTAGGGCTTGGTTTGTTTGTTGGTGAAGAGAGAAAGGAAACCATGAATGTGATGCGTAGATTAAAGAGCATTGCTTCCGGTCGAACTTCTATATCATCTGATCCTGTAAGTTTTTTTTTTTTAAATTCTTGCTTTGCTTGCATGCGGAGAAAATGAGGTAATAAAATGAAAATGGGAGCTTTCATTTTTTTTGCTTGTGCCGTTTTGGATTTTTAGTTAATTGTGTCAAGAAAGTCTCTTCTTTGCTTCATGTCTTATTGTGGATGATGGGTTTTTGTGGCTGTGGAGCTTAATTTGATTCTGGGATTATGTGTTTCTCTTGTTCTTTGATTTCTTTTGCTGCATGTTTTTGGAACTTGACCTGTTTTTATTGAGTTTTTGATCTAATCCAGATCCCGGGTCAATATTTTTTTTTTTGAAATTTCAAAATTTCATGGCATTTTTCCCCCTTGATGGGAGGCATTGATTCTAATTTGCACTTACTTTGTTTTCATTATAAAATGAGATGATATTTAGGAGTTGGAATTAGGCTTTCTTGCTTTCATTGTGGTTTTGGCTGTGGGGCCATATAGCCTTTCCCATTTTTGTTGCTTGTTCATTTAATCCTTTAAGGAGGTTTGATTGGTTGGCTGATCGATGTCGGTTAACATAATGTTGTAGCTCAGATGTAACGTCGGATTCTACTTTTAATTTAGGATGATTCTAATATTGTGAGTACTATTTTGAATGTGTAACAATTTTTCTTGTAATTTCTAACAAATGTTATAGGATCTAATTAATGTTATTTATTTATATGGATATCAATGGTGAACGTGTAGTTTAGTGGTTGGTTTTTCTGTAGTGCATTGCTGTTGCGGTTGGTGGTATGTCATGTTGCACTCATTGGTTCTTTCCTGAAAATTGTTAATACGTATCTTTACCTGTCTTTTCCTTTTTTAAATAAAGGTGAAGACGAGACGGAGCACTAGAAAGTTATTCACATAAGTTCCCGTGTCCTTTTAGGATGTTAACAATGAAATCTTATGATAGATTTGCACTTTAGGATTCACTGCCTAAATAGAATCCTGGTTGATATTAAGAATCATTGTATTTCTATATGCGCACTCAAACAAGCATTAATTAGAGCGCAACATCAAGTTAAATCCTTGAATTATGAGTTTTTGGATATGTCATTTCTGTCTGCAGTTGTCTAATTATTTCGGTTCTACCTAGAGAGGAAGTTTGAGTAATAATATTGGATATATGTTTTATAATCAAGTTGCCATATTGGCCTGCCTGCAGTTGTCTAATTATTGTGGTTCTGCCTAGAGTGAAGTTTGAGTAGTCATATTTGATATATGTATAAATAATCAAGTTGCGATATTGGCCCACAGCTTATGAACTTAATAACAGCCTAGGTATTTATTTTATTTATATAATTTCTTGGATCGTGTTTTGATTTTTGAAGCCAATGTGTTTTGTACCAAATTCATTTATTGTACCAAAAATTTGATCGCCTTAAAGGAATATGAGATGGCTATGCAATAACATTAGTATAATAATGTGAGATAGAATGGGAAAAATGGTGCAATTATACTTCTATATGGAGAAGAAATGTAACCATGCAATTTATCTAATTTCTTGTGGAAAATGTGTTGTTTTTCATGTAGGGCGGGGATGCTGTAACAAAGAGGGCTAAGGTTGATCAAGAAATGGAACCAAAGATTGACGGGGAATCATATTTAGTTGAAAGGAGTGTCACTGACCAGGAGCAGCATATGGCTTCTACATCACAGGAAAATGCTGCCAGTGCATCCAATGTTACTTCAGTGACAAGAACAGAAAAATCAGGCTATGATCAACTTCCAAAAGAGATGCATGAAATGAAGATCAGAGATGACAAAAACACTAATCATGATGAAAAGGTAAATGTTCATCTGTACCTTACTCCCATTCCACCTTAAAGACCAAACACATTTGGGGAGATCTCATTACTAATGTATTTCTTGGATGGGCTGTGTCATAGTTTCCTTGGGTGTTCTATTAATCATGGAATTTCTGATTATGTAGGATATGGAAGCTGCCATTGTGAGTGGCAATGGGACAGAAACTGGTCAGATTATTGCAACCACAGTCGGTGGTCGGAATGGACAACCAAAGCAGGTTATCTGATTATCCTGGTTGAATGGTTTTGCATTTTATGGGTTGTTTAATCTCATTTTTCTTAATGTATAGTTCTGAGAGAGTATTATGAATTTGTTTATTATGGAACTTTGATTTCCGTGCTGTTATTATAAGAGTAGATTTTTTCCTGCCCAGGAGAATAATGCATTATAGATTTCCACTTGCATGTGGAGATGCATTGCTTAGCCACCATATCTTTCCACCCAACTCTCAAGTCTGTCAATGCCACACCATGGAAACCTTCAAGATTGAATGTTATTGATCCTTGGCTTTTCTTTTTTTTTCATAACTATTTTAGATGCTGAAGGCTACATGTTCTTTTTATACATCATATGAGTTAGTTATAGACCATGCTGCTAAATATATTTTACTTCTTTTTCCCAGATAATCTCATATATGGCAGAGCGTGTGGTTGGCACAGGTTCATTTGGTGTTGTCTATCAGGTATGTGGAATTAGCCAGCATCTTGCTTGCAATCGCACTGGCTTTTAGCATTTATACAGTTAGTAATATTATGTTCTGTTATTTTACATTTTATCTTGCTCTGCAGGCTAAATGCCTTGAAACTGGTGAAGCAGTCGCGATAAAGAAGGTATTGCAGGATAAGAGATACAAGAACAGAGAACTTCAAGTCATGCGCATTCTTGACCATCCTAATGTCGTTCAGCTGAAACATTGTTTCTATTCAACTACTGAAAAAGATGAACTATATCTTAACCTTGTTCTGGAGTATATATCTGAGACTGTCCATCGAGTTTCAAGGCACTTTAACAGGATGAACTATCAACACACACCCATTTTATATGTTCAACTGTATACGTACCAGGTAAACTTTGTAAATATCCCTATTTTTGTGTATATTTTGTATGCACAGCTTGATCTCATGGTGTGCTCTGGATTTTTGTCTAGCAAACTATTGTAATACTATTTCCGTGAGTTTAAATTATTCTACTTAATGTCCTTGTAGATTTGTCGTGCACTAAATTACTTGCACCACGTTGTTGGGGTGTGCCATCGTGACATCAAGCCACAGAATTTACTGGTCAGTTTTCTTTCTGCCATATCCCCCATCATTCTGGCATTGACATGAAAAATGGTTGAAGTCTTTTGATCCACAGCTTTGCTTATGTGAATTTCACCCATCTGGTTTAGTTTCCTTACGTGAATTTTGCGTTGAAGATTGCTGAACCTGATGAATTCCTTGTATTACTAGCAATGCAATTTGACAAACTGGAGAGCTTGCTGCCATAGTCCAGGGCATGTTTTTTAGCTTTTCTGCTATTTGTCTTGAAATATTTTCTATTTAGAGAGCAAAGCCTTGAAAGCGACTGCTCATCACCTCAACTTCATGCCCTCTGACAGTGATTTGTGAAATATATATCATGGAAGTTTTTGCAAGATTTATAGCAGCAATATGTTGCTTTCTTGATGGATGTTTTGTTGTTTATATATGTGGTTAAGGGATAACTTCATGAGGTTATGTTGTATTCTGCAGGTCAATCCCCATACTCATCAGCTAAAAATATGTGATTTTGGTAGTGCAAAGATGCTGGTATGTTATTTTTCTATCTGTAGTGGATGTTAAAAGCATGCTAGTGATGTGCTGAAACCTCTGACATTATCTTTTTTATCTTCAGGTTCCAGGCGAAACCAACATATCTTATATTTGCTCTCGGTATTATAGGGCACCAGAACTTATATTTGGGGCTACAGAGTACACAACTGCAATTGATATCTGGTCCGTTGGTTGTGTCTTGGCCGAACTTCTTCTTGGACATGTGGGTCAACATGGCTTTTTCGATCCTCTCTATTCTACCATCAGCCTCCTATTATAGATTTGACTAAAAATTATAGCTTATTCTGAAGAATAATTTTGAATAGCTTTCTGTTAATGTTAGAAATTTCCACACCTCCTCTCCCAAGCAGTCTGGTGTGCATGTGTTTAGGACACTGTTCCAGAGCACTCACTAATATATATATATATATATTTCTTTCATGGAACTTGCTGAATGGTTTTTGATTTCATTTCTGCAATTTCACTTTTTCTTACTGGATAAGGAAATGCAGAGAGTTTACCAATCATGTATTGTTTGTCTGCCATTGTTTACTGTTTGCTTATTGATTACCTGAGTCAATGCAGTGGCTGTTTGATTATTTGTGTTTTGATTCTATGAATTATTTTAAATTTTTTGCTTTAAATTAATGCATAGATGATGATTTCTGATGTTTATTCAATGTTGCATTTTGCAGCCACTATTTCCCGGGGAAAGTGGTGTTGATCAGCTGGTGGAAATTATTAAGGTTAGCTATCCTATCTTTTAGCCCTCTTTTTTTAATTACTTCTCCATATGTTTGGTCAATTTCTGAAGTACTTTCCCCCATTTGGTGATCATAAATTAGGTCCTGGGCACACCTACCCGAGAAGAAATTAAATGCATGAATCCCAATTACACAGAGTTCAAGTTCCCTCAGATCAAGACTCACCCATGGTACAAGGTCTGTTAACAATTTTATCAGGAGGATCTTATCTTTGTGAAATTGTGTTTTATATCGGTGGTTAACACATTGATTCTCAAATTCCAGATATTTCACAAGCGAATGCCCCCTGAAGCAGTGGATCTCGTATCAAGGTTGCTTCAGTATTCACCAAATCTGCGGTGCACAGCTGTAAGCACTTGTACTGCTCTAGATAAATGATATCAGTTTCCAAAATCATCAAACGTTTTCTTTTCTATTTAATGCTTGTTTAGTTTGAATGGCTTTTTTCCCTTCTTGAATTGCGTATTACACCCTGCAGCATTTTTTATAAAGCTTGTAATTTGTTATTTGTGAGAAGTATAGTAACTTTCCTTTTTTATTTACTGGCTGTTAGTTGGAGGCGTGTGCTCACCCCTTCTTTGATGATTTGAGAGACGCAAACGCATGCTTACCTAATGGGCGTGCGCTACCTCCTTTATTCAATTTTACCGCCCAAGGTAAGTTAATATAGTATTTTTGTTTCCCATATTTTTCTATAGATTCTTTGCACTTCTCATGCCAAATGCCCTTGCAGAGTTGGCTGGGGCATCTGCTGAACTGCGTCAACGTCTCATTCCAGAGCATGCAAGAAAAGAAAATTGACGATGGCTAGGTGGTCAGATTTGTAGTCAAATCAATGCTACTGAATTTTTGAATGCGTGGTCACCCATGCAAGCACGCTGCCTGCTTAAATAGTTCACAGACCAAATCAACTTCGCAACATTCACCTCATTAGTTATTACAAAGGGGGGTCTTAGACAGTAAAGGCTGGTGGGTAGGCTTTGCAAAGATTTTGGATGGAGCTTTAAGACAGAATTATCTGATGGAGCAGGATCGCTTGGCAACAGGGCTCCAACATTTTATCTATTTAGGATGTGGTTTGTAGTATGCATCATTGCTTGGAAGTTGAGTTGTGATTACCCTTTTTGTTCCAGTGTATAGTTTGCTGGTATTCATTGAGAAATTAACTGAATGGATGATTTAGATGAATTATGATTTCTCAGTGTATACTTTTCCTGCTTTACCTTCTGTATTACAAAGAAATTAAAGTATATTAGAATTTCTTGGTTTCTTTTACAACGTTTTTCTTTAATTTCTCAAGCAATGGTTTATGTTTGCACTGGGCTGAAATGTAGGCCTGTCCTCTGTGATAGCTGTACGATCATATCTCAGAAGCCTGAACAGATATTCTCAACCAAACCCTTCAACTCCATTAAGGCAACATGCAGCACTTGTTAAGTTGTTATCAATTATCTTTTCATGGCTGAAACCAAACCTTACAACCATGATTACAGGAAAGATAGTGGCTTACCAAGAGAGACCTAAATTATTGTCCATTAATGCTTAAATTTCACCCCAGATGATGCCATGGCTAAGGTAACATATCGGCCTGAAGGTTTGGTGGGTTAGTTCTCTGTTGATTGAATGCGAGCTGATATTTGATCTCAATTAGTGGTGGTCACAGCTGAACAAGAGAGTCAATGAGAAACATTTTTGGATACGCTCGCTCGATTGAAAATTGCCTGACATGTTATCTTAGTGGTTGGTGTTGGAGGCTCTCCATAAAACCTAAGCTGATTTCTTCGCTGCAAATTAAAGAAAGGGAAAGACTAGTCAGTTTTCGTTTGTCTTGTCTTGACACTAAAATAATTTTTAAATAAATTACTCAATAGAAATTGTTACTAAAACTTCATTTGATTTATATAAAATGATTTTTAATTTTTATTTATTTATTTATTATTAAAAAAATTAACTAATAAAAAATAGTTTTCAGTTAAAGAAAAATTTAATCTGGTTTCAAGAAAGTTTTTTTTTTATTTTAGACAAAAAACACTTTTTATAAGTTGTAAAAAATTTAAAAATATTATTTACTGGTTATATCAAATTTGATTCATAAATTTTTTATTACTATATATTTTATTTTTTTAATTTTATTTTTTAAAATTTGATTTAATTTTATTTTTATATCAATTTTAATCCTTATTTTTATAATTATTATTTACTTTTCTCTTATTATTTTTTAATTAGAATTTTTTGTTTATCATATTTGGTAATCATTCTTTTAATTGTTATTTATTTTATTTGAAATAATTTATAAAATTATATATTTTTTAATTTTATCATTTTTTAACTTTTTTATATGTAAAATTTGATTTTTATTATTTTAATTTTTATTTATTTTATTTGAGATAAGTTATGACATTAGATTTTTTTTAATTTTTTAATTTATAAGATTTGTTGCTTATTGTTTTAATAAATTTAAAAAAATATTAATAATTTATTTTTTAATTTATTTTTCATAACACACCTAAATATTATAAAATATTTTTAATTTATATATTATCAAATATTAAAAAAAATAATTTATTTTAAAAAATAATTTTTCAAAAAAATAATTTTATAAAAAAACTTAGTTTCCACTAACCAAAGACGCTTTCTCAGGGCTAGAAAATGTCATGGCTCGTCATCATTCAACCACTAGCTCCGCTGCCCACCCCACCCCACCCCACCCCACCCCATCAAAATCAAAACTTTAGATATGTTATTTTAAAAACTAAAAATATATTAAAAAAATATTTATTTTTTTTAAGTTTATTTTTCACATTACATATTAAAATATCTTAAAAATATCAAAAAATTATTAATTTAAAACAAAAAATTATTTTTAAAAACACTTTTAATAAACAAAAACAAACTCCCTCCGTTAATATCACGTCTCAAAAAAAAAAAAAAAAGATTTTTCCTAAATCATGGCAGCCGGAGAAACCTGTCACGTGAAGTGAAGTGAAGTGAAGTGAGTGAGCCGGCATCACTTGGGTACAGATTCAATGAACATTTGCCGCGCGTATGGCACTTCATTTTCACTTGCTATCCCACCAACAATCAATTGCCCTATCACGTGCACTCTGGCTCGTGACAAAGGAAAGACACGAAGACACGTATTATTTTGGTTTTACAGACATAGAAACCCATCTCAAAACTCATATCCCTTATTTAAAATCAAATCAATATTATATTGACTTTAATTCTTGGATAAATTTGAATTTAATTAATAATTCATCATGTCGGAAATAAAACATCGAACTGTATAGTTGAATTAAATTATATCACTTAAAATATTTGTATAAATAAATTAAATTAGTAATTTTAACTGTTTTGCTTTTAATCTAAAAATCATTTTTTATTACATAGTCCTTGTATTTATTTAAAATAATCCTAAATAAAGTTTGCATTAATGCCGTGAGTATTTTTTAAATATTGTTCTAAATGTTAATTTCAACAAGATAGCAAATAAGATGGTTTTTTTCTCTTTAATTTATTTAAATTAGATCTCATTTAAAATTTAAATTAATATTCTCTATAAAGATATATTTATTTTTATGTTGATATTTTTATTTAATAATAAATAAATAAATATTAAAACACTAACTAAACAAGCATGGAGTTCCCAATCTCAAGTTTTTCATCGTAATTCCCCTGAAGGGTTTCACATACAAACACACACAAAACATATTCATCCATTCCCTCGGGATTTCGAGCCCGTAAGTTGTTAAATCTTAAGAATTACTATCCTTTCATTCAAAAATCTCTTGTGTCTTTAAGAATCGCACCGTAAAAAGACAGAGAAGACTCTTCAGGTTACGCAGCCCCACACAAAAATGTACCCGCCAAATGGTTCCCTGTCATCACCACATTCCGGGGGCGTTGACACCTCACCGTTGCTGACCTCCTCAGTAGCCAACCATCTCCTCCGTATCCGCCGTCCACCACAACTTCGAGGCGCTGCCGCCCGTCTCCTCCGACTGGCAAGCAGCCGCGGAATGATGCTGAGAGAACCATCTGTTCGTGTTCGTGAGAATGCAGCCGAGCAGCTTGAAGAGAGGCAGAGTGGCTGGGGTTACTCGAAGCCGATAGTTCTTATTGATGTTTTGCGGAATTTGGCGTTTGTGATAATAGCTGTTGGTGTTTTGGGGTTAAGTTTGGAGGAGAAGCCAAAGGTGCCTCTGAGAGTGTGGATTGTTGGGTATGGATTACAGTGTTTGTGTCATGTTGTGTGTGTTGTTGTTGAGTATAGAAAGAGAAGGAATTTGGGGTTTGAAGAAAGTGGGATTTTGAGCTCTGGGTCAGGGGATTCTTTGGGTTTTGGGACTCGTCGAAGTGGAAATGATGGTGAAGATACTAGCCGGTGAGGTTTCATTGTTTGCTGGGGGTGTTTTTGTTTCGAAAACAATCTTGCAAAACAAGAAATGAGGGGCTTCTTTTTTCCCTTCATAAGTTGTTTAAAGTTGTGCATTTCATGATGCTTTGCTTGTTTTGGACTGGAGTGTGAGCAATTTAATCTCATGTATTGTATGAATTTGTAGATATAGTAATCCTTATGCTTTATTCTTGCAGCGTGCCAAAGCGTGTGGAATCTGCAAGTACGATGGTTTCAATTATTTGGTGGGTTATTGGATTCTACTGGGTCACCGCCGCTGGTCGCCAAGATTTGGAAGAGAATTCACCTCAGCTTTACTGGTTTGTTAGAACAAATTTTGCTTTGATGTGCCCTTTGTATATTTACTTTATTTTTTTTTGGAATGTTTATTGGTTTAGCTGTTGGTTTCTTTTGCAGGCTCTGTGTTACATTTCTTGCTTTCGACGCGCTCTTTGTAATCATATGCGCTGCTGCTGCATGTCTCATTGGTATTGCTGTTTGCTGCTGCCTTCCATGTATAATTGGCATCTTGTATGCTATGACAGACCCGGTAAAATTTTCAGTTGGCATACCGGCCAAGCAACTTCTGATTTTGAAAGGATCTATAAATTACAACAGAAATACGGCTCATTATCTATTTCTTGACATCATAATTTTGCAGTCTAGGACTTTAAAAACTGTGTCTTCTCTCCTCAGTCCTCAATATAAATCAGATACAGCTTTTAGCTTTAAAGTTTTACGATAAGAGATTAAACCCCGCCTCCAGTTCACATGCTCTGGTGGATAATTTCTGCTACTGTCTGCCATGTTCTGAGAATCCTCCAATTACTCCTCGAAAACGTGATAAGTGGTGAATCTTTGCCTTTGCTCATTCTTCTCAACCTTTGATGAAAGACATTCTAATGCTCTATCATGCCTTCATCCCTTTGGTGAACCCTGATTTTTCACCCTATAGACCTGAAAAACGTAACTTCCTATTAGATGGACAGCAGGAGCAGTAAGACACCATGGATCAAAGGTTGATGAGAATGAGCAAGGGGAAACATGCTGCTCCAACCTAGAAAGCTTTGGTGCTTGAAAAAACATTACGATGATATTTTGTACGCATGAAGGATGTCAAATTAAGCTGCATTCTAGATTCCGGATTTCTCCTCTTTAAATCTTTGTTGATTTGTTATTATTTGTGATCTTTAAAGTTGACTGGAATTGTTACCAATTTGACATTGAATATACTTTGTATGAATTATCTCAGCGGACAAAGTCTTAAATTGTTGTCCGGATAGTGACATAAGCACATCATTGTTTTCTCCAAGCCATATTGATGCTTTTTACTGTTTTTAATTCGGGCAATGTAGTTATATTAATTTTTGAGTCGTGACACGTTATGTGTGCTGGGCAATGGCATTGCTTGGTAATTGTCTGAGGTCATCGGATCTGTTTGTTCAAAAGGCATCAGTTTCATTCACAAAATGCATCTTTTGCTCTTGTTCTTGAATTCTATGTCCCTAAACGTGCATTGCCTTCAATTTGGTAGCAGGAAGGAGCGACAGCAGAAGAGATTGATCGATTACCAAAATACAAGTTTTGCAGGGCAGAGGCTTTTGAGAAAGTTGATGGTGAAAATCCAGAAATTTGTGGAGGGATGATGACTGAATGTGACACTGACACACCCATTGAACGTGCTGTCTCCCATGAAGACGCTGTGAGTATCTCAACAAGCAATCTGGTATTGTCACTTCTAGAATATGTACTCTTTCATTCATCCGTGCCTTAGCTTTGAACCTTGGGTGTTTGGATGGCAGGGTAGTCATTTTTTAAGGTATTTCTTATTTAAAAATTTATTAAAATAATATTTTTTTTAAAAATATTTTTGATATTAACATATCAAGATAAAAAAATTAATTTTAAACTAAAATAATCAAATTTTAGCCATCCACCGTTCGGAATGCAATACCAAACGGGGGCTAATTGTAAAAGCTAAAGCAAACTGAACAGGGAAACAAGAACAATTGGTCTTCCTCTCCTAATGATATGCTTGCTTCTATTATGGAGCTGATTCCCCATTTTCAGGTCTTTAACCTCGATGCACTTCTGACTTGAATACTTGTTGCAAATTATCACAGGAATGTTGCATTTGCCTTTCTGCCTATGAAAATGGAAGTGAATTACGTGAACTTCCTTGCAATCACCATTTCCACTGTATGTGCATAGACAAGTGGCTTTGCATCAATGCAACCTGCCCTCTCTGCAAGTTCAACATTGTAAAAGCTGGCAATCGAAGTGGCAATGAAGAAGCATAAAAAATCAGGTTTTTCGAGAAGAGCATCTTCCCATAATCCGAGTGTATCATACCTTGCAGTTCTTGTTCCTTGACAAAAGGAACAGAGAGTCGATCAGTGCTTGGTGCCTGCTACTTTCTAGCCTCCAAAACTCGGCCTGTTGTACCAAATGCAGGCATTCACCACAGGAAATGTGTGCATGTTTTATGCTCTGTAATCTGTATATATGATTGAAGTTCAGCGTAGTGCGCAAAGCGAGACACGTTTTTTGTTTTAAATCGATGTATTTGGCTAACGAGCTGTATCTCAAGCTGTCAAACTGACATCCATTGCTCGGAGACTATCAATGGAAGGACAGAGAAATAATATTTTAATTTTCTAGAAAATAGGAGATAGAAAAAGAAGAACACGAATCTCAAAACCAAGCCCAGCCAACAACAAAGACTCACAGAACCACGCCCAGCAACACAAAAGGATTCCATGCCACAATGAAATAAACAAATGAGCCAAGAGCCACCTCCCATGCTCTAAGAAAGTTCAAAACCTCTAGCAGCCCAACCCAGCCATGCCAGGCAGGAAGAAATAGGCGTCCAAAAGAAGAAAACCCAGAGAACTATTATTATAATACACAGTAACATCAGTATGGGTAAGCATTGTTTTTGCCACGCTACTTAATCTTTCTTTGTTAATAAGATATAAAATGCCCATGACATTTCAATGTCATTTTAACATTATAACCAAAACCACACTTGTCATCAATCATCTTTTCATAGCCGAAATCACACCTGCAACAAACATAAAAGATAATTAGCTTATAACATAGAACTTGACGAGGTTTAAGGAAAAACTCCATTTTATTAAAGTTTTTTCGAGATAGATGACAGGGTTGAAACATTGAAGGAGTGTCGATGGGTTCGAAGATCATAAACAACTGCAAAACAGGTCTTTTGTGGAGATATGAGGATGAGGAATAATCCATATATGGGTGTGTAATCAATGAACTGAGACTTCTAAATCGGCATCAAAATTCTTTCCTTGGTATTTCATGGAGACTTCTATACCTGCGAAACACGTAAAATTGCATGGAGGAATGAGCAATGCATTGTATGGAATAGTAGCTTCTAATGACTAGTAGCTATACTGTTGAATGAGAAAGTAAGGTGATAAGGTGGCCATCGTCTAGCAAGAGCATGCCTCAATCTCGTTCTATGAGTCTACAATAGTGTCATTCAGTGTTAAGCGGTTGCTTTTATAATTGACCCTGTGCATTGTTGACTCTGAAGATGATATTTTGTACGAATGATGTCAAATTAAGCTGCGTTGTTACTTAATTCGGAGGACACTGTAAGTTCAGGATCAAGGACCATTTTGATTTGTTATTTTTTGTGATCTTTATAATTGACTGTAATTGTTACCCTTTTGAATTTGACGCCCATCAAAGCTGTCAAGTCCAGAGAGTGGTCCTCGTTCTTCAATATTCTATGCCTAATCCTGCGTTGCCTTTAATTTGAAAACAGGAAGGAGCAACTAGAGAAGAGATTGATCGATTACTAAAATTCAAGTTTCACAAGACAGGGGATTATGAGAAAGTTAATGGTGAAATTCAAGAATCTTTTGGAGGGATGATGACTGAATGTGATACTGTCACGCCCATTGAACGTGCTCTCTCCCATGAAGATGCGGTAAGTATCGCAAGAGGAACTTCTCTCTTCTAGAAATGGATTCACTCTCTGACACTATTGGCTTTGGGGGCTTTAGCTCAAAGCCTCTAATGGTAAAAGGCGGGAGTGAGTTGGTTAGCTATTGGCCCCATAAGGCGAAATGGACAGGAAAATGAGAACAGTCAGTTAACGACTGTTTCCGGGGGGTAACTCCCATGCACTGAACAGAAGCTTCACACTGCAAACACTGTAGCTGGGAAAGGGACAGAGAATCGTTTTTTTTTCAAAAAAAATATTTCTTGATCAGATTCCCTTTACTCAAGGCTGGATCAATTTGCAACCTCATATGGTCTCCTTCTCTTATAGTCATGTGGTTACTTCTATTAAGGGTTTGGTTCCCCATTTTCAGCTCATTTTCCTTGATCCAATTCTGACATGAATATTTGTTATAAATCACAGGAATGTTGCATTTGCCTTTCTGCCTATGAAGATGGAAGTGAACTTCGTGAACTTCCTTGCAGTCACCATTTCCACCGTATGTGCATAGACAAGTGGCTTTGCATCAATGCAACCTGCCCTCTCTGCAAGCTCAACATTATAAAGGTTGACAGTCAGAGTGGTAGTGAAGAAGCATAGAAATGAGGTATTTCGAGCAGAGCATCTTTTTGCTCTTTTTGCTCCAGCAGCATCTGACCATGTAATCTCAATGTATTTATAGTTCTTGTTCTTTGATACAAGTCTTGAGGTAATGGTTTCGTTGTGTTATGTAAAGATGCAGTTTTCTCCACTTCCCCACTCTCATAAATCACCGGTTGAGAAATTAAGATCTCTACCTGAATTTCTGGTAGTTACTGGGTGGCACAAACACCAAAAGATGATGATAATTAAACGAAGAGCCCGGTCACTCCTGTGTCATCTTTATATCACGTTATTGTGATAGAGCGACCCTGCATCAGGTGGGCGCAATTTTCCTCATTGCTCTTGCAGGTTATACCTGCCGGAGAATGAACCAAGGCTTGATCAGCTATTAGTTCAATCGATTTGCATCTGGCGTTTCTATCAATAGAACAGAAACATCACCTCGCCTTCTTGGGCAATCTATAAATAATTTTATTCCAGCCTCCGTCCTGAATGTTTTCAATCTTTGCATTGGCAAACATCTTCCTCTCGGCAAGAGAAAGCTCGATGACATTCGGACACAAAAGAGAAATAAGGAATAAAAAACATAATGGAATTTGGATAATTTAATGGCCCATCACATTTTATCAATAATATATTCTATATGTTAGCTTTAAAGAATTACACAATTATATACCGAGTAAAAAGAATATAATTCATTCTTATTCGTATCTTTGATCTTTTGGATTCATTATTATTAATAAAATCTCATTTAAGTTTAATATTTGTAAAATATTTTATTAATGAATTTAAAGTAAAAATAAAATCATTGGAACAAAAATATTTTGTAAAGAAAAATATAAAATTGTTATAATTATAGGATCATATTGTATTAAAATATTATTTCTAAATGTTCGTGATCAATGCTCTATTAATACTGAACATTAATTAGAGTTTTTGAAACTGATATATATTATGTTATTATTATTATTATTATTATTATGAATGAAGATAATTATTACTATAAATTGAGGTATGAGGAATACCTAAAACTAATATGTAGCTGCTTGTCAGCCGACATATACACTAAATTGACTTGCTTAAGAATTCATATGAAAAGATCACCTGTGTATATGAAAAGGCTTGCATCAGTTGTATAAGTGATTTTTAGTCTTAAAATCACTAAATCATCTTATATAAAAAGTGTTATGTTTTGATTTCGCGACATGTTGTCTTAATCAATGGTAACAAATGGATAAATATTGAGTATAATATGGATTATATTGAGATATTTAAGTAATCAAGAGATGATTTATCATCCTAGGTGATTTGAAAAAATTGTTTCATCTGTTTTTAAATAGTATTGATTGTAAATCCTTGTGCACGGTGTAATGAGATTTGAAAATAGTTTTTAATCTTATTCAAATAATCAATGACTATTGTGTTAAGAACAAATATGATTTGACAAAATAAACATACTCCATACTATAATATCTAAATCGTAACATTATTGATGAAGGAATAATAATTACACTAAGAAACTGGTTACTAAAAGATTAAGTTAAATCATTCATGATTTTCCTAATACTTAGAGGATTATACTAGGTTGCTAGACTACGTACTTGATATTCAAATATAAATCAATCAATTATTGAATTAATAATAAATTATTTTATTTTATTTATTTAATTCTATTTTATTTAGGATTATGATATTTGAGCCAACTTATTAGAAAATTTAATGGTTCACACATATAAGAATCATTAGTCAAAAGTTAAAATAAAATAATTAATCAAGTGTGACTTGATTGAAATAAATTTTAGAAATTAATGACTAGAATATAATTAATACAAGAGTTTAGAAGATTTCTCACTAGTAATTTGTGTGATCGTTTGAGACTGAATGCTTGGATAACTTGTGGTTTGCAACAATCTAATCTTAAAGAAAATATTTAAAGTAAAAAAGAATATATAATCTTTAAGTAATCTTTGTATAAACTCTAAACAACTTTAGATTTATTTAAGAGGATCTTTAAGACTAAAAAAAATATTAAATTTATAATTTCTATAACATGTATGTGTTTGGAGAAACCCAACACTACTAGTTTACCCTACTAGGCTCTCTCTCTTTTTTTTTTTTTCTGTCATCTTAACCTCTTTTATTTTTCCTCTCATTTTTTTTTATCTTTTCTTCTCTCTAACTACCCATCTATTTTCAATTTTTTTTTTCTTTTCTTCTCTTTAACTACCCATCTATTTTCAACTTCATTGTCAGACATAAACCTTAAAAATATTTTTATTCTTAGGAATGCATCACTTAACATACATTACACCACACTTTTTCACCCATAAACAACCTCTCTCGTGCCAACCTTTTCATCAACAATCATTTCTAAGTCTGACTCTGCATCAATTCTTCTAGCTTGACTATTCTTTTCCTTCCTCAACCATCATTTCTATTAGTGACTATCCTAAGCTTCACTTTGCATCAATTTTAATGCCCTTACTAACCTTTCCACTAATGAATTACTTCCAAACACAAAACTACTGATCAATGACAAGTGTAGTATGCTAGCCAATGACTTAATTTTTTGAGAAAGTAAATATTCCTTTATTATTTTCTCTTACTAAATAAACTTATATGACTTATGGTATCTATAAATACCATATGTCACTAGATAAGAAAGTAGATGGACTCGTGTTAACTTGATTTCATTACTTTTTTATTCAACACACCCTTATTCTCATGTTTCATATTTTTTTTTTTACATATATTTCACTTTTTTTATATTTATTAACTTAAGTATCGAAGGATCTTTTATTTTGATATGTGATTGGTTATTCATGTGAATACCAACTAGACAAAGTCAAGACCAATCATCTAAACCTAAGACAAAAAAAAAAACTATAAAAAAAAGATCAATTCAAAAATATAAAAAAAACCAAGAGGATCAATCTGTAATTTTAAGGTGAGGAGAAAGAAAAGAATAAATAAAAAAAGCCTATATATGACAAACTACATAACCACCTTTGACACATAC